TAGCATGCACAAGGGACTAGGTTCAATCCTCAGCACCACATAAATGTTAAATAAAGATATTGTGTCCATCTAAAACTTAAAAATAAATATATAAAAAAATAGAATAGAAATCTAGGATACTCTGCTGAAGGGAGGCCAGGTGGAAAAGCAATGAGATGTCAGATGTTAGTGAAAAAAACTTCTTGGACTTACAACTAGCCAAATCTTCAGAATTTTGTTACACAGTAGATAATCAAAATATATATAATGAGTGAAAAAAAAAATTCTACAGACAAAACTGAAGCCATACACTTTCATTAATCAAAGAAAAAAAGAAGGAATATAAAAATGAAGATTCTGCTAAAAAACAGTTTGAGTCAAGTACAACAGTAAATGTCTATACTCTAGCTACCTTGTAAGCTTAGGGAGGAGAATCACTTGAGCCCACAAGTTCAATACCAGCCTGGGCAACACAGCCAGACCCCATTTCTCAAAAAACAACCTGAATAAAATAATAAAGGTACTAGAAAAATTAAAATTGTAGTAGGATTTAGCTCAGTGGCAAGAGTGCTAGCATGAATGAGGTCCTGGGTTCATTCTCAATATCAACAAGAAAAAAAGAAAGAAAACACAAATTTGCAAGAGTAAAGCCAGGCACAGTGATGAACCGCCTGTAATCACAGCAAGACAAAAGGATTTCAAGTTCAAAGGCAGCCTGCTGAGGCCCCAAGCAACTTAGCTAGACCCTGTCTCAAAATATTAAAAGGGCTGGGGCTGGGGCTCAGTTAATAGAGCCCTTTCCTCATATGGGTGAGGCACTGGGTTCAAACCTCATATTTATTCATATAAATAAAAATATGGTGTCCACCTACAACTAATATATATATATATATATATATATATATATATATATATATATATATATATATATATATATATATATATATATATATATATAAAATATTAAAAAGGGGTGCCCTGGGGATGTGGCTCAGTGGTTGAGCACCCTGGGTTGAGCACCCTGGTTCAATCTTCAGTACCAAAAATAAATTGTTAGAGTGACAAACCTTACAAAGAAACCCTCTTAAGCTGGTTTGTTTATTTTAATAAATAAACAAGCCTTAGCTATCTGTGATAGGCAGTCAGCCTCTAAAATGGCCCCCAACAACCTCTACTTTCTGGGTTCTTTTCTAATCTCCTCCCCTTGAGTGTGGACTGAACCAAGTGACTCCCTTCTAACACAGAAAATACACGGAAGTGAAGGTACTTCACTGCAAGTAATAAAAGACCACAGCTTCTGTCTCTGTACCTCTCTTGAAGCACTCTCACTAAGGGAAACAAGCTACCAATGTTATAAGCAGACCAAGGCACACTTGGTATGGTGAGGAACTAAGCCCTTAAGTATAATACCCCACAAGGAACTAAGACTGCAAGCTTCCACATAAGTGAGCTTGAAAGCAATACTTCAGGCCCAGTAAAGTCTATGACTCCAACAGCTTCACTTCAAACTCATTAAGTGGCAGCGGACATAAGGCACCAGCTAAGCCACTCCTAGATTTCTGATCCATAAAAACTATGTTTTAATACTTGCTGTTTTAAAGCTAGGTAATAACACAATCCTGTAATGTCAGCCACACAAGAGAACAAGGTAGGAGGATCCCAAGTTCAAGGCCAGCCTGAGCAACAACCTTCTCAAATTTTTATTAAAAAAAAAAAAAGGAATGGGGATGGGAATGTAGCTCACTGGTCAAGCTCTTGCCTAATATGTGCAAGAAATGCCTGGATTCCAAAATACTCTGGGACCAGGACCAGGGCTCATAGGGTATCTACTGAGGGGTGGAAGGAGGGAAGAGTCTCTTGAGTTCTGTCAAATGTTAAAGAAACAATTTCTTGCTCAACTGTAACAGAAAGTAAATATAAGAAGTTTGCAAATTGTTTTGAAGACAGTATAACAAGATTCCAAAATCTAACAGAATATAAACTAAAAATAGGCCAATTTCAAAAATGGAAACTAAGCCAGCAGGACACCCTACACCTGTAATCCCAGAAGTTCAGGAGGCAGAAACAGAAAGGATCACAAGTTAAAAGCCAGCCTCAGCAACTCAGCAAGACCCTGTCTCAAAAATAAAAAAAAATTTAAAAAGGGTTAGAGATGTGGCTCAGTGGCTAAGCACTCCTAGGTTCAACCCCTGGAACCAAAAAAAAACAAAAGGAAACTGATGTAAAATCCTACACACAACATTAACAAAAACAATTCAGGAGTATAAAAAAATATTGTATCGTGACTTGGCTAAAAGAGTAGTTCAGTGGTAAACATGATTAGCATGAGGGAGGCCCTAGATTCAATCCCCAGCATATGCGTGCACTCACTTGTGTGTATACACATAATACTCTACCACTCTACCAGTACTAAATAACATACTAATAATATACTGGTACTAATAACATCAGAAATAGTTAATTCAGTTGCAGAAAATCTATTAATACAATTCATTCAATTATGTCAATGGAAGAAAAAATCCATTTTTCACATTAGATCTGAAAAACAGTATGAAAAAAAGTAAGCAATCCAGAGAAAGGAAGTAGAATGGCAGTTATCAGGACCTGAGAGAGGGGAGACTGTAGTTATTGGTTAATGAGTGCAGAACTTCAGTCTAGGAAGATGAAAACATTCTGGAAATAGTTACCAAAAAAAAAAAAAATGAGAATGTATATAATGCCACTGAACCGTACATTTCTTAAAATGAATAATTTAAATGTTAGGACTGGGGTTGTGGCTCAGCAGCAGTAGAGTGCTTGACTAGCATGTGTGAAGCCCTGGGTTCGCTCCTCAGCACCACAAAAAAGTAAATAAAGGTATTATGTACAACTAAAGGTATTATGTACAACTAAAAAAAATTTTTAAAAAAGAAACTGAATTTTTTTAAAAAATATTAAAATCATGTTATGTATACATTTTTTCAGTTGTAGTTGGGACACAATAATTTTATTTTTTTAGTTTTTTAGTTGTAGGCAGACATAATACCTTTATTTTTTGTTTATTTTTATATGGTGCTAAGGCTCGAACCCAGAGCCTCACACAAGCTAGGCAAGTACTCTACCGCTGAGCCACAACCCCAGCCCCATGTTATGTATTTTAATACAATAAAAAACCTAAAAAAAGTTTTTAACTGTCATGATTATTATCAAGTCTTTCCTCTGCCAAAATAATCTCAAAATCAGTTTATATTATTTCATGCTTTTAAAACACACACACACAAAAAAAATGCTGGGTGCAGTGGTACGCGCCCATAAGCCCAGCAGTCTGGGAGGCTGAGGGAGAAGGATTCTGAGTTCCAAGCCAGCCTCAGCAACTGAGTGAGGCCCTGATGAACTCCGCAAAACTCTTCTCTCTAAATAAAATATAAAAAAGGGCTGGAGATGTGACTCAGTGGTTAAGTGCCTCTGGGTTCAATCCCTGATACCAAAAGGAAAATCAAAGACACATATTTTCCTCCAGTGAGTACTAAAAGCTTAACTACTTAGTTCAAGTTTCCCACTTTTTTTTTGAAAGCACCAAGAAATATGAATATTTTTTAAATCTCAGAAAAATGAGGCTGAATTATCTACTTACAAATTATTTCACAAATTTCTTGTGTTTAAATGTCAAAAACATGTTTGAACTTCCAAACTTTTTATGAAGTCTTTCACCAGAAAGGGCTGACTTGTGCCTCCATAGTATCTAACCAGCATATAAGATAACAGATATGATGATAATAGAAGGAGAATTAGGCAACATCAAAAATACTATACTCATTCTCCTCTGTAAACAACTTTTTAGGTTTCAAATTCATAAAGCTTTACTGTCTTTCATCTCCAAACATGAGAATGGTTATAAAACATTTATTAGATTTTGTAATATTTGAAAAGAAATGATATTTACTGTATTACAGAGTTAGATGACTTATCACAGGACTTCTGGTAAGAAAGTCTAGGAAAATTCAAGTGGTGCCATCACCCAGACTGGGGCTCACATCTTTGTGGTCCTGATAAAAACTGCATTTCACGCAATTCAAGACTTCCTTAAGAACAGCTACCACTGTTATCACCTACATACATACATGATTTTTGTATATGTGGCACTAGGGATTGAATCCATAGCCTCACGCATGAAAGAGCTCTACCACTTTGCTACATCCTCAGCCTTTTTAAATTTTATTTTGAGTCAGGATCTCCTCTAAATTTCCCAGTAACTTTTAACTTTCAACCTCCTGCCTCAACCTCCAGAATAGCTAGGAATGATAGGTATACATGACCAGCATAAGAGAAAATTTTTAGAAATCACTTTGCCATGTATAAATATACACAAAAATAATAAAGCATCACCATAACTCTCAACTTAAAAAGAAAAAAATTCTATGATCAGATATGATTTTAATTCTTTACCCATTGTGTACTTTTTTCTTTTATTATGATATCAACCTGTTTTTTCCCCAAAATAAGAAAGCACTAATGAAAAGGTTTTAATTGCTTTTTTAATACTTTTCAAAGTGAAAATATAGTGAAAAATACTCAGCAAAATATTTACTCAAAGGTCAATATTAGCATTACCTAAAGTCAAATTTGCACCTTGCTTGATTAGATTATGATACCTTCCTTCAAAGGACAGCTAGTTATGACTCACCAAAAATGATTGAGATCAATATGTAAATGCATAATAAAAATTTATCCAAATAACAAAAAATTTAATTTGCATATCTGTATGTATGAAATAATTCAATTTGTGTGTGTGTGTGTGTGTGTTTTGAGATGTACACATCCTTGTAAAATTTCTGGAATGGTATAGAAGCGTCAACAATGACTACCTTTAAAGTCAGATGACAGCATTATTTACTTTTCACTTTATGCTCCTTCTATAATGTTATAATTTTATACACCACCAACGTATACCTTTTTTCAAGAGACTTTTAAATTTCACCTTACAGTTTAAATCATACACTATGAAATCATAAAAATCTAATTCACTTAAGCTCTGAGTTTACCTCCTTTATTGATCTCCTGTTTCGGATACTGGATATACTTTATCTTCTCCAACTTTTCCAGATTCTTTGTTGTTCTAAAATTAAAATAATTTTATCTTTAGTATTCAGATTTAGTTTCTCAAAAAAAAAATATATTAAATACGATGTCACGGGAATGACTGCTAATTCACTGTCTTTGATGTGTACCTTTCAGAACTTAGACTTCATTGTGTTTTTAGAAAAGTAGTGACAAATGCCAACAGTTGTTGGACTGCAAGTGGAGCTATCGTTTGCATCTTGAAAACCCAATTTTGACACAAAGGAACTTTTTTTTTTTTTGTACTGAGGATTGAGCCCAGGCACTTAAATCACTGAGCCCCATCCCCAGACCTTTTTGAGACAGGGTCTCTAGCTAAACTGCTGAAGCTGGCTTGGAAACTGTGCTCCTTCTGCCTCAGCTTTCTGAGCCGCTGGGATTACAGGGGTGGGTCACTGCGCCCAGCATACAAAGGAACTCTTTTAACGGCATCAAATATCTCAACGAGCTTTCGACGCTATTAACTAACATGGTGACGACGAACAAAATATCCAGTCATTTTAGATTGCTTAAAATTAACAGAAAGACAAGAAGCATCCGTAAAAGACTTGACCACTCAAGTCAAATCTCTATTGATTTAGGTTATTCAAATCTCACAGTTCTGGTACAGAAAAGTTGTAGGACTCTGGGTCTGTTTTAACTAATACTCTCAAAAGTGAAGTTTCAAATCTGCAAAATGGGCATACTAACAACTTCCCCTGTTAAGTCTGTAAAAACTTCACACAAAGAAGGGGCTCAAAATGGCAGCACTCTTCCTTCCCCTTCTCGAAGGTTTCTAACAAACCTCCTCAGGCTCCCAGCTAACGCGCCACCTCCACAGCCGCGATCTCCCCCGCCCCAGGCTCCGCCAAGGTTGACCCTTTCGGCATAGTCCCGCTAAGCTCACCATCACCCCTAACAGAGCACCTTCTCCTTCAGAGCAATGCAGTTCCAGAGTGCAGAAAGGGAAGTTGTTCCCCAAACACATGTGGCAACAAGGGAATGGATGCAGCACCCAAGCCCACCCACCCTCTCCATCATCAAGCCCCCACCTTCCCCGCCAAATACACCAGTACAGCAGCCTGCGTTACAGCAAAAGAAAAGGGACTTACAGCCGCCTTCTCAGATCGGAAAAGAAAGTCCTCAGACTCACAGCGAGGAGGTGGGCGACGAGGTAAGTCCACCACGAGGACACACAACACCACAGCAGCCGCCAGATGAGAGGTGCCAGGCGTCCCAGTCCTCCGCCCCAAAGGACTTCAGGTGCCCCAAAGAGGCGGGGCCTTGCAGAGCCTGACTGCGCAGACGCAGTCTCCAAGCAACGTTCAACTGCGCAACATCTGCCAATGGGAAAAAGCGCGGGGCCGCCGTTCGAAAGTAAACGGCCGCTGGCGCCAGCAGAGGTGGGGGCGTGAGCAACAGGGCGCGGCCTGAGGCGGACGCCCAGCTTTCTACGCCTGCGCAAAAGGCGCAAGCGGCCAAACTCGCAGAGGTGCTGGGAGAGAGAGCAGCTCCTCTGTTGTGGGGCGCTTGGGTGGGTGTGGTGTGCCTCGCGGGCTGGGGTCCCGCCTGAGGAAGCGTCTTGGCGCTGAGGGCTGCGGGAGAGGCGAGGTCGGGCGGGCCTGAGCTACGCTAGGACGGCTGAGGGTTTCTTGAGGCATCTTTGTGGGAATGTTTATTACATGGAGGCACGCTGTCACGGTGTGATGCTAGGATTTTAAAGCCACTGCCATAGTTACTTCAGGAGTTCCGTGGTCCCCGAAGTCTCCACAGCCCCGAGGGCACACGTGCATCGTCCTTTGAGCTGAGTTGCCCTTTGTCTCTACGTTGTGGAGACTTAGACCCACATGGGGTATCTGAGCATAGAAGGGGCTTTAGAGCTCTCTTGTATTCAGAGAAGTGAAAGATTTAGTAGGAACCTTAGGACTCATTAGGAAGTCCTCTCGCCCGCCCTTCTTCCCCCCACCCCCCTTTTTTTTTTATCATTTTGTGAAATTTCCTAGAGATGACGGTTGCAAAAGAATTACCAGCTTTTAGTTTACAGCTTCCCTCGCCTAAAATTCTTTTATCTACTGCTGTGATGAAACTATGGACTTAGTGTATTTGGTATTGCCAATACATTCAGATATTAGGCTTTTAACCAGTAGATTAGAGAAAAATATCAACGAGAATATAAAGCAGAAATCAAGACAATATTAATGAGACCTTAGTCAATCTCAGGTGTCTTCACCAATTCAGCTGTGACATACTCTTCCTAAAAGGCTGTTTATGAAATGTGGATTCTAGGGATACCCACCGTTTCATGCTGGCGCGTGTATGTGTGTGTGTGTTTCAATTTTATTGTACTTTTGTTACTTAATCTTTGTAGTTTCCTAATAGCTTTTTAGCTTTTGGTAAAAAAAAAAAAAAAAGTATCTTTGCATGGCAATAAATGCTCTAGACTTTTATGAAATTATTCCCTCCCATAACTGTAGTTGCCTCTAGGATTAAATTAATATAGCTGAGCATTAATGTTTTTAGATCTAATTTTCTCAACCTGTTGTCCCCTAGGCTTTCTCACTGCAAAAGTTTTAATGCATGTGACAAGAAAGCAGAATTAGCTCTCCTTACTCTCTGGATTTTGTTTTACAAAAAAGCCGAGCCGATTAGAAAAATAACTTTCAAGGTAAGAAGCAGTTAATGCTGAAGAAGTAGAAAGAAAAAGTATGATAGTCCCAAAACAGATTACTGAGGTCCTGATAAGAGGAAGTTAAAGACATCACAAAGGAGAGACTAATCTGTTCCTCTAGGGAGTCTTGTTTACAGGCCCAGGAGGTTCCCAACTGTGCCAAAGATTTCTGTAATCCCACATGGGGGAAGAGAGAAGATGGTAGAGAACTACAGGAGCCTACAGAAACAGTAGCAGCCTCATTAGTGGCAGTCACCATGACGGATTTGTAGACTGCAATTCTTGCATTCTACCTACAGAGGTACTATTGGTTTGGAAAGGTGGGACAAAAGAATTAAAACTCAAATGCAGGAGTAAATGCTTAAAATCCACAAACATAAAAATCACATGCTGAATACTCAGCAACCCACCCCACGCCCCCCCCCCAAAAAAAGAGGGGAAGGTGAGAAAATTCAGCTGCTTTGTGTCTACCTATATACTCCCTATATATGAATCTCCTTTTGATAGAATAATGGAAGAAGATACAACATTTGCAATTATTAGCACGTACATCAAGGGAGCAAGAAAAAGTAAATTTTATGATAACTTTTTGGTTCTCAGGTTTGTCTCCCTACTTAGATATTTTCTGTCTTAATCACTAAAATAGAAGATCTCAGTAACAGAGAAGTGCCCTGTGCTGAGAGCCATTGCCAAGTAAGAATGACGCATGGCATGACCCAGGTCATTTGCAGTGACATTGCATGAAAGGTGACCTTGCTCAAGGACCAGGGCGGATCCAGGTTTAGGGTGTATCCTGCTGGGATTAGGGAGTATCCTGCTCCTTGGGTTTAGGGCGGTTCCAGGTTTAAGGTGTACCCTGCTGGGAATAGGGCGCATCCTGCTGCCTCAGGCCCACTGTTCCTTGAGTTCCCATTGAGTTCTCCGGGATTCAGAGAGTTTTTTGGGATACAGAGCCCAGTGGAGGTGTGGATTTTCCCCAGAATGTGCTTGTAGAGTGCCGGTGTGAGTTTGAGAATAAAGAATTGCTGTTTGAATCTACAAGGCTGTGGTGGCTCGTGATTTTGTGCCCAGCCAGACTGCGGCAGCCCTGCAGGTGAGCCAAAACACTTTATGATTTGGGGTTTTAATAGCTACAGACTAAATATCCCTCTGTAATCTCCATCGCAGTGATCTCAGCAGAATTATAATAAAGACAACTTGTGATTTCCAAAGTTAGAAGGCTCCTGTGGTTCATTTCTATGACTTCAAAGAAAACACAGCATCAACTGGCATCATGACTGTAGTGACAGTGAACCGTAAACTCTTGAGTTGCCCTTTTAATAAATCTTAACAGTTCATAAAAGGTCATTTTTCCTTGGGAAAAAACACTCAGCTGTGTGATGCAATGGCGCACATAAATTGAGACATTTGGACTTGGGAAGGATCTTGGAGTTTGTCTAGAAAAATGTCATTTTCAGAGGAGAAAACCCTGTCAACAATGTTGGTGGTCACCTTAAAATGAGTTTGAGCCCATATTAGTATTCATATTGGTGCTTAAATATATATAAGCTACATAATTTAAAACTCTAAAGCATTACACAAAATTTGTTTCCACAAAGCCCTTTATCAGCAGTATCTTTGAGTACAAATTGGAAGATTACAAGGATGTTTTTGTTCAGTTACAGTTTACCTTCTAATTTCCCTTTCATTTTCTGTCTACCACTAAAAATAATTTTTAGGGGCTGGGGATGTAGCTCACTCACTGATAGAGCTTTTGCTTAACATGTTTGAGGCCCTGGGTTAAATCCCCAGCCCTTCAAAATAATGATGATGTGATGAAGAAGAAGGAAATAATATAGGCACTTACCCAATTTTCCAGGACATTCTGTTTATAATTGTTATGCAAGCATCATTTAATTATCCACACATTTTGAATTTTAAGAACTTTTTCTTATAAATCAGTCATAGAATTTTCATTTTGATACAGTATTATGTGTTTCTCTAATCCATTTCATCAAAACAATATTTGTTATTTGCCTGGTGAATACACAGCATTAAAGAGGTCAAGAACACCACAGGTTTTATACTTACCTTACTTATCTTTTAGTGGTATCCCCTCCTTCATAAAAAAAATCTTAACTAAGCTTCTCCAGAAAACTTCACCATAATTGATTTTAAGACTATAAACAAAATAGTCTCTACAAAAAAAGAGTTCAATGTAGATAAATTTCCTATTTTCGTATTGCTCTATTTTACTTGGCTGCTAGCCTGGAAGAAATCAGCACTCCAGGTGCTGGACACCCCCTTACTAGTTTTTCACAAACATTTATCCAGTATAGTAGTTTGTAGAAATGTGTAAACAAGGCCTCTGGCCTTGAGCTGGAGCTTCACAGAGATATCTACATTTCCAAGATAAAAGTAGTTGCCAATTGGGCTCCATGGTAACAGCTGGCTGGGGGAGGAAAGAAAGGGGATAAAAAGCTCTCTCCTCATATGCTGTCCTTGAAGGGTTAACTTGCCCAGACCGGTGAAAGAAAAAGCTGCTTTTATGTGAACTTCTGCAAACTGTGAACTTCTGAGCCCCTCACCTTACATGCTGGGTATAAAATTCTGAAACTACCTGAACTGGGGTTCAGGGGATTGATTAATTACAGCAAAAGCTGTGCCCTCTGAACCTGGCTGCAGCCAAATAAAACTGTTTCCTGCTATCTTCGGTGCTTTGCGTCATATATTTCTACAACAATCTAAATGAACTAACATACAAATAAGGAAATACAAAAAGTTGCCTTTTTGATAAAAATTTAGGCAGATTTGGAGACAGAAGCACATGGTTTGGTTGGACTTGTACCCAGTCTCATTTTTAGATGATCCTAGCAATGTGTGCATAAACATGTAAGTTTTAGAAAAAGCATTAAAAGAAGGAAGGGATTGCCTTCTCATATGTGTAATGGTGTCAATTACAATGACTAACTTACTATGAACCAGGCACTGTTCTAAATCATTCATTATCTTCCTTATTCTTCACAAACACCTTATAATATACTCACTGTTTTTAAAAATTTTAAATGAAATACAAAAAACCAGTGGTCTGTTTTTTATTTTATTCTTATTTTTACAAAGGAAGGAACTAAATGTTATCAAAGTCTCAAGGCTACTCAATGTGTTTCTCTCACTACTCAATATGTTTCTCTAATTCCAAAGCAGGAGCCTTTCACTGCTTTTATTTTCTTCTTCACCTTCTACATGAGTTTCCTAGGGTTACTATAACAAGTTCCCCAAAACATGGTGTCCTAAAATAGTAGAAATGGTTTTCTATTCTAGTTATGGAGGTAAGAGTGTGGGGAAAACTGTGTTCCCTCTGAAGGCAGGAGAATCTGTCCTGGCCTTTTCCTGCTCTCTGCCTCTTCCTCTTCATGGACTTCTCCTCCCTCTGTCTTCTTTTTCTGTCTCTCATAAGAACACTTATCATTGAAATTAGGGACTACCTGTACAATCCAGAATGATCTCAATTAATTCAAGATCCTTAATTATATCTGCAAAAGACTGTTTTTCAAAATAAGGTCACATTCACAGGTTCTGAGAGTTCAGATGTGGACACATCTTTTGAAGAACTATATTTAACACACTACATTGTCCTAATAAGATTCCTGTGGGTTGGAATTGTCACTTATACAGTGTTGAGAGTTTAGTCTCGTAGACT